ATTTCTCTCTTTCCTCTCCTCCGGTTGCTCCTTCTGGCTCTTTTGCTGGCTCCTCCTATTCTTGCCAATACTGTAAATGCTGGAGTAGCCACAGTTCAGCTCAGCCCTCTTCCCTCTTTCCATGCCACAAGCTCCCAAATTCCATCCAGGTATATACCAATGATTCCCATATCCACATCCGCAGCTCAGATCTCTCTGATAAGCCTCAGGCCCATAGAGTCAACTGCCTGGCAAAGCCTCCATCTGGAGGTCCCAAAAGGTCTTGTCCCTGGGCAGCTGAGGGTGGGGACTGAGGTATAAGGAGAGTGCAAAAGTAGGCTGGGAGGAAAAAGGAACTTCAGAGGAGTGGTTAAGAATGTAACTCAGGAGCCAGCTCTCTGGGTTCGAATCCTGGCTCCATGAATTATTAGCTGTGTGATCCTGGGCAAGTCTCTTATTCTCATTGAGTATCCTTCTATCAACTTGTGCTAACTGTGTTAGGTTAATGCCACAGGCTCTAGAGCCACACTGCCTGCCTTCAAATCCTGGCTCTAACATTTTCTAACTGCGTGACTCTAGGCAAGTTACTAAACCTCTCTGACGGCACTTACCACACAGGATCTTGTGAGGATTAAACGAGTTCTTATGTATAAGCACACAGAACTATGCCTTGGATAGTAAGTGTTATAAAAGTGTTTGCTGTTATTATTAGTATTATTTATTATGAAAATGCATTATCTAGTTCAATCCCCAAAACCCTTGAATCATGTATTACTATGTCTATTTTGAAGATGATTAATGGAGGCTTAAGCAGGGTGTGTGTGGCGGGGGGGCACTGTTAAGCAGTTGCCCTAGGCCACACAGCTAACAAATGGCAAAATAGGGCAGCAAAGCTTCCATTCTCCCACTACCTGAGTGTACCGTAGGATAAGGTGCTGGCCGGGCCGCAGGTTGAGCTGGCTGTTCCCGGGTAGTGCAAACTGGACACGGTAGGTGTCCTTAGTGATTCTGTCCATGGCACTGATGTGGAAGGCCAGGAAGGTTTCTGGGCTCAGTTTGGAGGGGCAGCTCTGCAAAAGGAAAATATCCAACAGCTAGAAGCTGGGGCTCAAGAGACATGCAAGCAACCGCAAGCATCTGCAAGCATCTTTCCCACTTTCCCCAGGAAGGCCATCCCGGCTACTAAGTTTTCTGTTACAATAGAGTAGTCCTACCTTATTTCCCTTTCATGCTTTGATCTAAGAATGCCAGAAAACTTGATAACGTGTTCACTCTTAAGTCTTCCATGGCTCCCCTCAGCCCAAGGATAAAGTACAGCCTCCTTAGCTAGATACTCAAGGGCCCAGGGAAAGACCCCCAGGCCTCATTTTACCTGCTGTGCATCAATAGGCAAGTATGGGGGAGGAGAGAGGAGAAGAACTTGGTGGGAAAAGCAAGCTGGGACCCTGGATTAGGATGTCATTGGGGAAGCATCATGGAGCATAAGGTTTGGAACAGGGAGTGACATGGTCAGCTGCATGTGTTAGGAATGTCATTGGAGTGGCAGAGTGGGTGGAGGAGAAGGGCCAGCCTAAAGGCAGGGAGATCTGGGCATCTCTGATTTATGGATGACAGGCTGCATGGGCTGTGACCTGCCCTGTGGCCCCTTCTGTCCACTAGAATAGTGAGCTTTAAGGACCACCAGCCAAGCCACAGGCTAGAACGAGCTGGGCACAAACACCAGGGGGTCAGTTTGAGGCAAGTAGCCAGAATGTGACCAGTAATTCTCTCTTGGTTTTCCTCTCCTCCGGTTGCTCCTTCTGTCTCTTTTGCTGGCTCCTCCTATTCTTGCCAATACTGTAAATGCTGGAGTAGCCACAGTTCAGCCCTCTGCTCTTCCCTCTTTCCATGCCACAAGCTCCCAAATTCCATCCAGGTATATACCAATGATTCCCATATCCACATCCGCAGCTCAGATCTCTCTGATAAGCCTCAGGCCCATAGAGTCAACTGCCTGGCAAAGCCTCCATCTGGAGGTCCCAAAAGGTCTTGTCCCTGGGCAGCTGAGGGTGGGGACTGAGGTATAAGGAGAGTGCAAAAGTAGGCTGGGAGGAAAAAGGAACTTCAGAGGAGTGGTTAAGAATGTAACTCAGGAGCCAGCTCTCTGGGTTCGAATCCTGGCTCCATGAATTATTAGCTGTGTGATCCTGGGCAAGTCTCTTATTCTCATTGAGTATCCTTCTATCAACTTGTGCTAACTGTGTTAGGTTAATGCCACAGGCTCTAGAGCCACACTGCCTGCCTTCAAATCCTGGCTCTAACATTTTCTAACTGCGTGACTCTAGGCAAGTTACTAAACCTCTCTGACGGCACTTACCACACAGGATCTTGTGAGGATTAAACGAGTTCTTATGTATAAGCACACAGAACTATGCCTTGGATAGTAAGTGTTATAAAAGTGTTTGCTGTTATTATTAGTATTATTTATTATGAAAATGCATTATCTAGTTCAATCCCCAAAACCCTTGAATCATGTATTACTATGTCTATTTTGAAGATGATTAATGGAGGCTTAAGCAGGGTGTGTGTGGCGGGGGGGCACTGTTAAGCAGTTGCCCTAGGCCACACAGCTAACAAATGGCAAAATAGGGCAGCAAAGCTTCCATTCTCCCACTACCTGAGTGTACCGTAGGATAAGGTGCTGGCCGGGCCGCAGGTTGAGCTGGCTGTTCCCGGGTAGTGCAAACTGGACACGGTAGGTGTCCTTAGTGATTCTGTCCATGGCACTGATGTGGAAGGCCAGGAAGGTTTCTGGGCTCAGTTTGGAGGGGCAGCTCTGCAAAAGGAAAATATCCAACAGCTAGAAGCTGGGGCTCAAGAGACATGCAAGCAACCGCAAGCATCTGCAAGCATCTTTCCCACTTTCCCCAGGAAGGCCATCCCGGCTACTAAGTTTTCTGTTACAATAGAGTAGTCCTACCTTATTTCCCTTTCATGCTTTGATCTAAGAATGCCAGAAAACTTGATAACGTGTTCACTCTTAAGTCTTCCATGGCTCCCCTCAGCCCAAGGATAAAGTACAGCCTCCTTAGCTAGATACTCAAGGGCCCAGGGAAAGACCCCCAGGCCTCATTTTACCTGCTGTGCATCAGATGCCAGACTCTTCTCCATCCTCCCCAAAACACCCTGCTGCCTCCTACCTGTGAGCTGGGTTATTTACTCAAGCTGGGCCCTCCGTTCAGATCACTCATCTCCAATGTATAAATGAACCACCCATCCTTCAAACCTGCTAAAATCCAGATTTGCAGAATTTAGAAATTGATGGAACCTTAAAGATTATCTCATCTAATATCTTTATTTTATATGTGGGGAAACTGAGGCTTGAGTGGTAATGACTTACTTACCGAAGGTCACATCATGAGCAGGGACTCAAAATCATGTCTTCTAAGTCTCAGTCCACTGCCCTTAACATTCCACCCAACCTGTACCTTCTCCAGGAAGCCTTCTCTGAATGCCATAACTCATGGATCTCTCTCTCCTGTAAAATGCCCACACATAACTCACTTCTGGGACTGCCCCCCAAACTCTGAACCTGGATCTGTCTGCTTCCACTAAACACTTTCTTTTTTCTCTGCTGTACAGTCAGGGAAAGCGTCCTAGAGCAGGTACACTGCACAGAGCCAAGGTCAGGTATATGCTGCCACCCTGGCCCTCTTGTCTGAGGAGCAGCTCTCTCTCACCTGTGACTCCTTCCCTCTCAGCAGGCTTCTGTCTTTGCTGGCTCGGGCTGCCTCCCACCTTGCCAGGTCTCGGTGATAGAGGTCAAACACACAGGGCGAGCAGCCACTGCCGCAGCACTGGGAGGGCAAGGGCTCCACGGGCCGAAGCTGCAGCCAGGCTTCCTCATCATCCTCCTCCTTCCTCTCATCCATGGGCAGTGGGCTGGGGCAGCCTGGAAGCGACAGCTGGGTGCTCTTCCCAGAGCAGGACTGGCTCTGTGAGGTCAGGGGCCCACACCCTGTTCCCTTACCAGTCTAGGAAAGGGAAAACATGTGGTTACACTCTGGCCCCCTCTACTCCTCCCATTCTCCCTGAGGCCTGCGGGTGCCATGCTCTGTGTGAGCACTGGGGACAGGAATGAATCCATCCTGGGATCTGGTGCCTGGCAGAGGAGGCAGACAAACAGGACATAATCAGAACTGACAACCAAGGTTTGCTGACCTTTTCTTGTGTTCTGTGTGCTGGATTAAGCATTTTCCACAGAAAATCTCATTGAATTTTTAAAATATTTCAAATGATGAAGTAAAACATATATGTACAATTTAATAATTATAAAAATTCTAAAAAAATAAATTAAAATGTTATAAAAGAATGCTTTTGTAACTATCACTCTAAGTAAAAAGAATCCTGCCAGCATCCCAGAAGCCACTTATGTGAGTCCCTTCCTGATCACATTCCCCCTGCCCTTCCTCGTAACCACCACCTTGACTTCTGATATATCGTTTCCTTGCTTTCGTTAGTTTTGTCACGTTTGCAACCCTAACCACTACAGTTCGGCTCTGCCAAGTTTTTCCCTTTACAAAGATGGATCATATTCTTTCACTCAGCATTGTTGGTGAGTCACCCACCAAATTGCTACATCTCATTTAATCTTTACAACCACAGGGCCAGAGGTGTCATTTTATAGATGGGAACACTGGGGTCTGGAGAGGTTTAATAACTTACTCAAGGCCACACAGCTCCTAAAATGGTGGCAATAGGATTTTAACTCCAGTCTGTCTGGTTTCAGTACATACTGTTCCTCAACCACAGGAAAACAGGAGTAAAAGATTGTGGTGGTCCAGGTGAGAGGAGACAAGGACCTGGACAAGGGCAGCTTCAGCCAGGATGAGAGGACAGCAGTCGACTAGAGAATTATGGAAGAGGGAATTAATAGGACATGCATGGAGTGACTAGATATGAGGTGAGGGAGTGAGGGGTATAGCGAGGTTAAAGGGACATTCAGGTGTCTGGCTTGGATCCCTGGGGTGGACAATAGGCTCAAGAGAAATTGAGTTTAAGGAGAAATAGGAAGTAAGAGAAAATGATAAGTTCAGTGTGAGCTTTGCTGAGTGCCCATGGGGCATCCAAGTGCAAAATCCAGTTGTCAGTTGGATTAAACAGGTCTAGGTATCTGAGTCTGGAGACAGGGATCTGGGTAACTGACACCAAAGGAGGGATGAGTAGGTAGAAAAGAGGACAGAAGGTAGAGGAAGAGAACAGAAGGCTGGAGCCTCCTGTGAGGGCCTGCTTAGCTTCACTCCCTCCTGCAAGCACTAGCAGTACTTGGTCTACCCCTGGTCATCATAGGTGCTCAATAAACACTTCAAATGAATGACTCTCTCTCTACTTATGGCATTTCATACTATTTAGAAGTTACATGTTCACATGTCATTCTCCTCTTTGAGACGGGCTCTCTGAACTTGAGGGTAGAGACCTGTTTTTTATTCATTTTATAAAATAGCACAGTGTATATTTTAAAATGTGTGTTATATGAAAAGGAGGAAGGCAGGCAAGAAGGAAGGAAGGGCAAGGGTGGGAGTTTGATTTCAGGGCTATTAGGTAAACACAGGCTGAAAGACTGATCAGGCAGGAAAAGTTAAATGGCTATGATTTATTTTGAGATATATCCCTGACTGTAAGGGCAGTTTGGGATTTATCAAGGTTCTCCATATTTACATGTGGAACTTCACAGTTTATATAGAAACAGACCTGATCATCTCACCTGCAAGCAAGCTACTCATTTAAAATTCCACAGGCAAATCTAAGTAAAAAGAAGGTGTTTCTTCCTTCTTATCTGAGAACAGAACCATGGAACCATGGGGAAGTCTGATGTCACAGAACATTTAACTACCTCTAAGAGTTCCAGCCTTTGATTTCCTTCCATTCATTCCTGCCATATACACTTACTAGGCAGGGCTACTAGATGCTGGGATGCAGAGGTGAATGACACTCGTCTCTGCTTTGGAGGAGCTCCTGGCCTAGTGGGAGAGTTATCTACTAAAGCGATAACAACCATTATAAGAATAGATGCCACCAACTAGGCCAGAGTCTATGCCAACTACTTTGCACTGCCTTGCTTAGTCCTCTAGACAGTCATATAGAGGTAGGCCATGTTCTTTCTCACGTCACGGAAGCAGCCCAGGTCAGGAAACCAGAAGTAGTAAAATTAGTACTCACGCCTGGGTCTCCTTCTTATGTCTCCAGGTTGGTGCTCTTTGTCACTAGATTTCACGCTTCTGGAGGAGAAGCGGGGGTAGGGTGTCTTCATCTCTAATTCCCAGTACCTAGCTCTGGGCTGGCAGAGAGCAGCCAAGGGCCCAACTTGCCAAATTGTCACTGAATTTTATAGGAACCCTGGAGCCTCCCAACTAATTTCATTCATGCATAAAATGCTAAGGTCAAGGTGTGCAACAAGTCTGAGAAGGGTAGAGGGCAAACCACCAAGTCTGCCTGAAGACCCAGAAATCCTATTTCTTGGTTACCAATCACTTTCCAGGCGTCCTAACCTTTAAAATCTTTTCTACTTTTCCTGCTTCCCACATCCATTTACACTGGAGCTTCCCATGGGCCCAAAGGATGTGCTTCTAGTCTCCCTACATCATCCATCAGCACACCTGCCACCAGCTCTGATCACACTGGTCACCTGCTTAGCAACATCTAACAGCTCCTCCATTGCCTAATAGATTGAATCCAATCATCTTACTTGATGCCCAAGGTTCTTCCTGACCAGAACTTGTCCAAAATTTTTTACCACTTACTATCATCAGTTTTAGAAGGGTAGTCCTTGTGTGCAATAAACCTTTCTTTTATAGAAGAAAGGGTTTGGTTTCAGAAAATCTGATTCTACTGCTGGTTCTATGATTTCAGGAAGGTTTAGCAGGCTGGGATCCCCTTCAGGGCAAGGGTGGTATCTTATTATTTCTGTATTCTACCACCAAGTACAGGCCTAGCATTAGGAAGGCTCCAGTGAGTGGTGAGTACTCTCATTCAGTTTACAAATAAGGTCTGAGAGCCGGGCACAGTGCTAGGTGCTGGGGTACAGCAGAGGTAAATAGGACATGGGCTCTACCTTCACGGAGCTAGCAGCCTAGCATGGTGTTACATCAATTCAATCCTTTTTACTGCCTTTTTTTTTTTTTTAAACCAGGTATGTATTTGAAGGAACGAGGTCTGGTCCCCTCTTTATGCCAATTTCTTAATCTCTAAGATTTTTTTCAAGATAAAGTGAGATAAGTAAAAGAACTGCAAACTGCTGTACATTGTGAGGGTTATTCATATCCATCTTTGCCTTAAATTTACCTTTTCTGTGTTTTAATAATCCCACTTTCTCCGGTATTTTGATAATTGGTAGAGGAGCTGGCCATGTCAATCATGAATTTTAAAGACTCAGTTTGTGCCTTTCAGCCTCTCTTTTCAGTCTAAGAGGCACCGACTTAAAGCCAGGCCTTGATACATGTTGTTGCCTCTGCCCGGATGTCTTGCCTCATCCTTCAGGCGTTGCCTTAAAGTTACCTCCCTTCAGAGGCCCTCATTCTCATTCTCTATCATGTACCATATTTGTTTCTATTAGTATTTATTCATTAAATATTTAAGTACTACCTTTCGGGCACTGCGCTAGGGGCAGGGAATACAGTAGTGAAGAAACAGAAACCCCTGCAGTCACGGAGCTCACATTGTAGTGGGAGATGGTCATTAACCAAGGTCAAAATGGAAAACATGTTAGTGTTAAATGTTAAAGAGAAAAATAACAAGAAAG